AAAGAAAAGGAGAAAGGAATAAAGGAAGGAAACAGAAACGAGAAAGTACAGTAATACTTAGGTTTCAATTGTTTGGATCAAGTGTGAGGAAGGAATTTTGCACACTATCTCAATATAGTCCGACAAGATTATATTAATCTGTATATAATATCAGCATCTGATATTATTCACCACCACAAGAATCCTGAAATTGAGTCCACAGCTGGGGTCAATTTACCCACTTAACAATAAATTTTGTTCAATCATGTGAACATAGCTTATGTGTATGTTAAATCAGCCGGTTGTGATTTAGGTATATTCATGTCAAGAGTTTCCCATAAAACGATCACTCAGGCTGGAATATGTTAAATTAACAATCTAGTCTCTCATGCATCATAATTTGGGGGTTATATCTAATAACCCTTATAGAAGCCTCTAGAACAATGTACTTTTTGTAGTTGAAGCTCTATAATCTAATAAAAGACACTGCTAGCTACAATATAGGGATTGTTTCCTGGACTTGAGTTTCTAGGTATTATTGGCTCAAAGGCATCTGGTATACCACCCAAAACCAATTCAGATCATGTGTCATTAATGCCAAAGGAACATTAGATGAAGTTACAAGAGGTGCTTGGAGTCAGATTGTATTTTGAAGAAAGAGCAGAGGGAGAAACTGCAGATGACATCCATGCCCCAGCACATCTGACAGTGACCATGGTTAGTTGACTTCAGAAAGGCATGGTTAGCCAGCCTGGCGCCATGTGGATATTCCTGTCTGCCAGAGTCAGGCATCAGCAAATCTTTCTGTGGCCATGCCAGGTTCAGAAGTGAAGGGAGAATGGTGTTACTGGGGCCAGGCTTGTAAGATAGTTTCTAGTGATGAAGTGGAATAAGAGTAGGTCTAGAAGGGATTAAACTGTGCTCCAAATGCATGACAAGACAGAAACCTATGTGTAGGAGATTTACTTTTTGCCCTAATCATCCACACACCTGCCCTCGGGAAGTCAGGAGCCCGTGAAGCCTTCAAAAATGTATTTAATGATGGTCATGATTTTCAGCTTCCTCTTGATACCTCACAACCTCAGATACACTGTTTCATTTGACAGTAATATGATTCTGTACAGAACACAGAACCTGGTGGGTTTCCGAATTCTCCGTGGCTTTGCCTTTTGTATCCATCAACTTAATTTTGCTTTATCGCTGGAACTCTTTGGAGAAATTTGCAAATGCAAAAGCCTCGCTGCCCTTGTGAAGGGAATTTTAAGTTGTTGTTGTCTTATTTTACGTTGTTTTTCCTGAAGAGGCACACACTTTCACACATTCACAATGAAACACTGTCCTCACCCCCTTGTCACTGGGCAAGAAGTGTGAGACTGTGAGAGTTAACATTTGCAGTGCTGAATCCACAGACCCACTCTTGAGTTTCAGGCATCAATGTCTGTCTCAGTGATATGACAGGTCACAGCTCCCTAGGTTTCATACATAATCAGGTATTAAAAAGGAAAGTCCAAAATAGTTTAAAATATAAGACAAGAGATGAATATAGACTTCAGACAGTTAGGTCTTCTGTTTCCTAGAAACTATATCTTCTTTTCTTTCTCTATATTATACAGTCAAGAGATCCAAATAGATATGTTTCTGAGGCATTTTATTCTTTTTATTATGGCCAATGTTACCTAATTGTTAAGGTCCACAAAACAGATACTGAGCAGTTCATTTTGAGGAAATATTGGAGGATTCTGGTTTTGCTAGAAAACTGATTTATTTGCAAATGATGGCATTCTCTCCATCAAAATGATCCTGATGTCAGTGTGAAGCTTTGGTACTGATGGCTAGTTATAAAGTGCCTTCTTCAGGTCAGCTGCCAGAAAGAGCATTAAAATACAGGAGCTATAGGTGCCAAATTATATGTTAAAGTCTTCCATTGAGAGTGGGTTAAAGCCATTTCCCCAATTTAATATAACTTGGTTTTTAAGGGAACATCATTTAAATTGCTTTTAATCTGCCATATGCACGCTGTTTGTGATAGTTTGTGAGAATACGCTATAGATATACGTCAAATGAAATACAAAACGCCACCACACTGTCACAGTCACAATTCCTGAGAGGATATGTGGACTGCATTGTGTAGGACAAATAAACATACAATGCTTTTTTGCAGCTTCTAACTTCTATGACTGCAGCTAGAAAGAACATTTTATAGGATACTTTATAAATACATATAGCAACAGTATAACTGTAATAATCTACTGTAATAGGTTGGTAAAATGATAACAGATTAGACCATTTTCTTCTGACTATAGCTTCAAAAATACAGTTAGATTATAATGTATAAAAATGTAGTTTACATCCTGTTGGTAATGTAGAAGAGATCTCTGGCATATTCTTCAAGGTGACATTTGTGGCAATGTAAATGATGTAATGTAATGTAAATAACAGTAATAGTAACATTATGTAAACTAATGCAATGCTTGTGATTCTTCTGACAAATTGAGAGTATATACACAATCCTTCTCTCCAGCTCTTTCACCAATAATGAAGTGGATTTCCAAGGATGCTTTTTAAATGCTTCTCATAAATACTCTTAAATACAGAGAAAATAGCACATGTGTTTAGAATAGCTGCTTAGACAAATCTTTACAAAAAGCAGGTAAATAGATTGGTTGATTCCTGGAAGTCCCCTTCAGCCTATGGTTACAAAACACATTGTTTATCATCAACATGTTTATTGATTTAATATATCATAATAAGTTCTACTTTACTGCACAGAATAAGCATAAATGACATTAGTGAGCTCTGTTCTTTCCCCATGCTCCTGTGCTATAAGTAGCCCATCACCATTGCCAAGGCATTTCCTAATATCAGCATAAGGATTGAGCTCTTCCCAGCCTGCTCTATCTATACTGGCTGTAAACCTCCCCACTAGCTCTTGCGAAGGAAATTGGTTAATCACCCAGTCCCCTGGAGAGATTTCTTTGTGAGTAATTACTCCATGAAAATATCCTGTCCTCGGCCTACATAGCTTTTCATAAATACCCTGGGCTTTCTCTCCCTGACACGGTTAAAAACAGAGATGCAGGGGAAGAGGGGATCAGGCAAGGGTTTAGAGAATTCAGCATCTATGTCCCATCTTCTCCACATAAAGAGTGTTGCACTAGTGTCTTCATAAACCCCAGGGTGAAAACAGAGCTCAAATTATAAAAGAGATCATGATTATAACACATATTGGAATATCTATAAATGCTTTCTGGCTACACACTTTAGAAAACTTAAAAACATTATAGAAGCCTCACAGACTACAGTGGAAATTAGTTATTATACTTCTTAGCTGAGTTTCGTCATCACAAAATTATAATGCAGCCAAAATCCCTGAACAGAAAAGAGAGACATTGCATTCAGTAAACATAAGTTCCCCATGAATAAGAAAATGACCCATTCAGTTTCAGAGAAACAAATGCTTCAGCTCACTAACCTCAACAGAAACTTAGGTTTTATATCTGATCAGAAATGGGAGAGCTCTGGACACACGGTGCTCCTAATTTTAGTGTGAGTCAGTAATAATATTTTCATGCAATATTGATTCATGGGAATAGGTCTTCATTGTCGCAGATCATGCGATGGAAACCTACCTATAGTTGCAGTGATTACTAGTTCTGAAGATTAGACTCACTTCAGTGTTCATGAAGGTGATTCACTGAATTTAAAAGCCACATCAATCAAGCTGCAGAACATTCAAAAAGCAAACAACAACAACAAAAATTTCAAAGTCATAAAATACAGGGTTTTTCTTGCTTTGTGTTATGTGAGAAGACGCAACATTCTTGGCAAAATGTCCCGACATCTCTTTGTCACTAATGCCAGTATCCAGGAATTTGCTCCCAAGAGTGACAGTCAGTTCTCAGGGGCATCAGCTGGGGAAAGGGTGGGAGGTTACTAACATGTCATTTAGTAGGACGCTGTTAATTGGAATGCAGTTTAGTGTTGCAAAAACTACCTGTATTTATAAGTGCTAAATTGAAAGAAAGGGCCCAATGTAGCAAAGTGTTTCATTTTAACTGAAATTTGTCGGAAGAGGGCAACAAGACCTTTCCTTAATCTTGGTTACAAATATAGCTGGTATTAGGAAATTCCATTTCCTCTGGATTCCATGCTACATTAATTAAATCTAAAAGATATATTTACTAAGCAGACATATAATGCTTTCTCAGCATCTGAAATCCTTGGTTATATGTATTCTTAGTCCAAGCACTAATCTCTCTAAATAAGTGAAACTATATTAGATTAATAGGTTAGCATTACATAATATACCAACAATACAGTAGCAGATTCTGAAAATCTAATAATGTTGTGTGAAATGTAATTAGCTAGAAGAAGAGATATGTATAAAAATAGGTGATATTCCCTAAAATATTTTGCTGAGTTACAATTCTTCCAGTTGGGAAGTTTACCACACTGTCATGATACATGTATGAAATGTCTGTTCAGAAAAAAAAATTAGAAAATATTCCTCACCTACCAACTCACTAAATGTAGGAATATATAATCAAAACTGGCTCTCAAAAGTGGTACAAATATATAGGGGAAGATACCTGTATGTGTGACAAACAAGAAAACACAGAATCTATTTATTGATTAGTTTTGAAAGGGGGCCCATATTTGTAATTAAAATATATATATATATTTATGATCAAAAACACTCACATGGATAGACATATCTTATTTCCCCTTGTACTCCAGCTTTTGTACTGACTGCAGTCACCCACCTTTTTCTAGGATTATTGCCTGACATAACACAGAAATTCCACCGCTTGTTCTCAACAAAGCAATGAAAGAGACACAATCTCTTTCCACCCTCCTGTCGTGACCCGTGTTCTGGGCTTGTGCTTTTTGGAGGAGTCTTTGATCTGCAGCAGGTCTCAGAGGCTTGTCTCCCGGAGGAACATGGTGCCGATGTTGTAGGAAACCTTTTTTATTCTCGATGAAGAAATAGAAGGCTTTGGCGGCTTTGGACCAGTCCTTACCTCCAGGAAATAGCAGATCCCAGGGATTTCCTTTGGAAAGTTGTCTGGAAGCTCTTCACGGGACCGAGGAATGAATGTGAAACTTTCTTCCCGTTTCAATAATCTAAGAAGAAAATATAGGTCGTGTGAATCAAGTAGATCGAGGAAGTGTAAATAAATGGACAGAAATTTTAAAGGTTCAGGAAGCCTATCGATGACACATTCATACTAACACCCCTATTTCTTTGTATGGATGTGATCTTCAAAGGATTTCAAATATTAGGAAGTGTTACAACCAGAAAATATCCCTACATGTTATAATAGCCAAAAAACAAGGCCAGTGTGGTACTAATTAAAAATATTTGTTCAACTTTTGATTTCTTTCTAAATAGCATTCCTTGAAAATATTTGCTCCATCTTTTTCCTCCTAAAAAAAGGGCTAAGAAAACTGCATAATACACATTTTATTTCAAATATGCAAGATTTACCATGTCCGCTTTTAAAATTCAGGAGTACCCCCTTTATGTCTGGCAAAGCCTTAACAAGGCTTAAATGTATGTTCTGTGAGTCAAACACATTAATCAAGTATTTAACTTTGTAGAACAACATTTCATGACTCCAAATGTCTATGATATTTGCTTACTTATTTCTAACCATACATATTATTCAGATCCACCAGCATTCATTGACCAAACACCTTAATCCTTCCCTTTCAGTCACACCCAAAGACTCTTTTTCAGAACAGTAACACTGGAGGAGATTTATTCTTTAAACTTGTCCAGTTCCATGAAGGGCTCAGATTCAGATATCCATATCTAAAAGACAATTCAGTTTAATTTAACAACTCTTTATAGTCTGCTTCCTAGTGCCCAAGAAAAATCTAGCCACTCTTGTGAATATAAGCAGAACATAATCTAAAAAACTAAAGATTTTGTCAACAGAGATAGAAACAGGATATAAGAAGTAAATTAAAAAAAAGGACCCAATACACAAGCAAAAACAGAGCTGTATAAAAGTAATATGGAACAGAATAGGCTAGATGAGATGCTGTAATAAAAAAGATACAAAAAGCTGCAGAAGTCCAGAAGAGGAAAGTGTTTGCAATGGGAGAAGCACAAAGCCTTCGTGAACAAGATGTAATTTTAAAATGTGCAGAATTTCAACAGGCGAACATGAAGAACAACATAATCAAAGGGTTAGAAATTTAAAAAAAAATTATAAACAGGATGAACAGGTTTCCAACCATTTTTATAGCATTTGAGAGTGACGTAAGAATGGTAGATGAGACTGGGCAGTAAGTCAAGAAAAAGTATTAAAGACCCAAACTACAAGTTTAGACTTTATCTGGAAGGTACCTTAGTGCCTAACCCATTATCTTTATCTTAAAAACAACTCATACTCCTAAATCAGATTAACGTTAACAGCAACTCCAAGTTATGCTGTGTGGGATAAAACATGCTGGGGAAAAAGAACAAACAAGTGCAAGGAAAACAAAGGATACGTGGATATACACTGAGCAAGCAATGATGTTCCTTTCAACACTAAGGAGAAGAAAAAAATCCCTTCTCAGATGCTATTAGTGGATTTAAAAAAACCCCATCTATATCATCTAGAAACAATAGTTTTACTAATAACTGTTGCAGTCTATGAGCAGTCTACACTCACGTTTATGAACCAAAGTTGTAGTATTTTGCTTACTAAAGAATAGAAGAACCATTCTCATTGACCATTCCATAACAAACATCACACAATGAGTATATGATTTGGGGATATAAAAAAGTGAGGCTCATTCTAACATTTCAAAATTCTTTCAAAAGCCTTACCCTACTTTTTTCTATATAACATCGTCCTATGCAAAAGATAAAATTAAAAAATGCTCCTCTCTGTCAAATTTATGGAGGGTGTAAGTGAGTTCAGCATAATTTAGAGTGTCTTGCTTAAGGAAACAGTAAGACAGCACTGGAAATGAACTGGAAGCGAGATCTGTGAACTTAGTCAAGCTTGGTCCAACAACAAATAATAAGACTACACTAAGACAACTCTCCATCACAAAACAACTGAACTAGGATAAGCAGAATGGAAGTCATCACTACTCTTTACTTTCTCAGCATTTGTACAGATGTCAATTTTCTTTACATATAATATATAATCAGTCACTTCAGAATTAAAATGTAAAAGTCCTTAAACAGTAGTTTAATTAAGCAGTGGATCCCACAATAATTTTGCTGAGCTCAAACAGAACAGTCATCAATGTGCAATATGTGAGTGACAATCAACAATGTCAATCAACCAACAAACATGTGTTTAGTGCTTGTGGCATGCTAAAAAAAAAAAAGTCATCTGAATGAAGAATAAGTGAGGATACACAGATTAAGTTAATAATAATTAAAAAGATAAGAAAGGCTCGTGGAAACAAATTAGCAATACAAGGCAGTATATTTTACAACATATGATACAATCCGAAGGAAGACATTTTGTAGTATAAAAGGAGAAACCATGACTGTGAATTTAAGTATAAAAGTAAGAACCACATCCAGCCATATCTCAATATTTCCCAAAAGTTTCTTTCAACCCCATAATCAACAATTAGGACTCCACGTGAACTACAGTCCCTCTATCTTTTAAGTTCCCAAATTTATTTCTTTTACAGTTTGTTGTTTCATCAAGGTCTTTATGTATTGCTATAACAGAGATTTGTCTGACAATAAAAAATAAAATTGGGGTTACATCCATGAAAGTACTTGTAAATGACCAAAATGAAGGTACCATCTCCTTTGGATGCCAGAATTTTAATTTTTTTAATTTTAATTGTTTGACATTTGAAATTCAGGAAACCTTATTTAAGTTGAAAAATAATTCTTTTTTTTTTTTAAACATTTTTTATTTTAAAATTGTGGGGTACAGTTAAGGGTTAGGTATACAAATATGCATCGTTCAGGCACCCTTGTTAATAAAGGGTGTCCCCCCATCCCCAGACAGATATTGACTATTGTTAATCCCACCTTCCTTCCCTTCCCTGTCCCCGATAGTTTTCCGCCACTGTCAATCCTTTTTTTATAGTATTATGATAGATGTTCAAGATCCACTTATGAGTGAGAACATGTGATACTCAGATCTTTGTTTCTGTGAGAGATCACTCAGTATTATAAACTCTAGTTCCAACCACAAGGAACTCAAACGTGCTGAAAAGGAAAAAACAAACAACCCCATTACAAAGTAGGCAAAAGATATGAACAGATACTTCACAAAAGAAGACATACGGGTCCAACAGACACATGAAGAAATGTTCAACTTCACTAATCATCAAGAAGATGCAAATTAAAACTACACCGAGATACCACCTAACTTCAGTCAGAATGGCCATTATCAATAACTCAAAAAATAACAGCTGCTGGAGAGGATGTGGTGAAAAGGGAACACTTCTGCACTGTTGGTGAGAATGTAAGCTAGTGCAACCTCTGTGGAAAGCAGTGTGGCGATTCCTAAAAGCTCTAAATATCGACCTCCCATATGACCCCGCAATCCCCCTACTGGGAATATACCCTGAAGAACTCAAATCACTGTATAAAAAAGATACCTGCACACGTACGTTTATTGCAGCATTGTTCACAATAGCAATTGAAAAACAATTCTTAAAACTGCATTTAGAGTGCAGACTCTCTTGTATTGCTAAACTCCCAAGTATTTCTAAGTAAGGTAAAAATATTTATAGGTTAATAAGACCATCTTTGACCTTAAACTTTATTGTTTAAACAAGTTGTAGAGAATAGAGGAAAAAATAGATTATTTACAGAAAACTATCTACATATGCACTCAGAGGTACAAATGACTTGGAAGCAGTTCTCAAAGAGCTTAGTTTTATTTTCTTCGGATGCCAGAACTTTTAAATAATTCACTGTACTTTGGTTAGGAGAAAACTCTTCACAATGAATTGATCTCTTGACATTTTGAATAGATCTCGTATATTTTGCTTGAAATCATAGCGACAACAGCATTTACGGAATTTTTTTTCTAAGTAAACATTGTTATATCAATAAGCTACATATAGTTTTAAATTTCAATAATAAAAATGAGAGCACATAAAGATAAAGTGATTCGAGTGCTTATGATGTCCAGGATTTAACAGCCTTTGTATATACAGAGACCGAAGTGCAATATTCAGACGAATTTCAACAGGACAATCTGAATGACTTCCTGGGGGTTCTGGAGGCGGTCAGGGAAACACTTCACACAGCATCCTGGTGATGATGTAAGTCATGGTGCCAAATAAACAATCAAATGTATACAGAGATTAGGAGTTCAGAACCTGATTGTCCCAGAACCTCTGATCTCCTCTGAAATGCTTTATTAAGTCCAAGTCCCCAGGCTGGCTCTAAAGCTCTGCCTAACAATCCATTTCTTTGGCACCTCAGGACCGATATGGAAGCTTAGATTCTACATGAATCTAAATTAATCCCAAATTGTAATTCCCAGCTAGTTGATATACAATCCGCGAGTGTGGGCTGCATGTTTAATGAGTATTTGGAAACCACACAAATCCAAGTTTACCTGCCGGTTGCCCTTTCTCTGCTCAATAGTTTTTTCCCTTAAAAATTGATTTTCAAAATAAAAATCCACTGCTGCTTTGGCTCAGTGGATGGCTCTCAAGCGTGTGCAGTAAGCTTGATACCGTGGAGGTCCCCAGAGTCGCTCCATCCCAGTTGCAGAGATGCAGCTGGTCTCCGACTCTCAGCTAGTGTTTACATACCTGTTTCCCACAATTTGCACTTAGTTTTGTGCTCTGTCCTATATCCTGACTAGGAAAAGGACCTGAAACTTATTCACCTGAGGTACAAGTGATCCAAATGTAATTTAAATTTTAACGTAAGTCTCAGAATTTTTTTAAAAAAGAAATGGAATGATAACGATGGCATTTCAGGAATTCAATTAAGAAGTGTGTTTTCTCCAAATCATATTTGAAGCTGCATAAAGCACAGGCTGGTTACGTGTAAGACAGAGGCAGGAATTTTGTCTTTTATCCCACTATACTTTTTCCTCCAATTATATGCTTTAATTCAATTGCCAATTAGGTTAATTAGGGAGGCCTATGGCCTATGTGCATTTCCCATGCTGCTCCAAGACAGT